TGTTGAGAAAGGTCCAGTGAGCTACCTTTAAACCAGTCAGTGGATTAGTACAAGCAAGCCATCAAAAGCACGTAAGAAATGTCTTACAGGATATGAAACGATAGCCACTGAAGGCCCCATGTGCGTGCATTGATTCATTCCCTTGTCGTGGCCAAAGGCAGTTACAGCATCTGCAATAGGTACAAGAGCTCTATATGCAACCTTGTGGGAAAAGTGCGCCTGCGAGGATAAATTGTCGAGGCCCGCCAATAGTTGCCGGGTTCGCGAGCGGACCCCGTCACACCCGATTACTGGACTACATTAGAAGAGCTGCCTCTGCCTCTATACGTAGATGCATATGAAAGAACTTACCACCATCGACCTCGTACATGCTTTTGTCAGAAAATGTAAGAGTAACCTTGTCGTTGCTGCCTTCGTCTTGCAAGTCTTTCAATTGTTTGCCCAGCTTGATCGAGCCGGCGGGTAGCATACTGGCCATCTCATGTAACAAATGAGATCTGAGGCACCCTTTATAATCCAGATCTCTTGCTGATACCTCAAAAAGTAGGGAGTCCTTGGATTCTGCTTCTTCTTGCGTGGTAGGGTTAAAACCATCCCAATAACGATTGCAAGGATGGCGGTTGACCTCTCCAATACTCTCGAGGGCTTCCAACAAGCGAGGATCTAGTCGCTTCAGGCACTCACGGGCGACACCGGTGAATGCAAAACCAGCACTGAATTCAGTAAGCTCTTGAGCTTGCTCAAAGACGGTGACCTCAATTCCACGTTTCAACAGTCCTATCGCTACCATCAAACCAACAATACCCCCTCCTATGACTGCGATTTCGAATGATCTCTCTGTCTTCTTCGCAACAGAGTCATACTGCATGTTACTCATGTTCACGGTCGTTTTGTATGGATAGCGGATGATTAAGAGATGCTTTAACTAAAAAGAAAGTTAAGTGCGGTAATCTGATTCATAATATGCTGAAAAGCGTTGCGAGCAGAGGTACAAATAACTATTGTTCCCAACTTCATGGTATGCGTAATGTCGAGTTTTTTATCAATGTCTCATTGTAGCAAGCATGCCAGCGATCTTCTTAGCGACTTACGGAATATTATATCGGAGTTTTGTTTAGCAGCGACATCGTATATCATTTCGTTACATGCAATTTTTCTCACATACCCAAATCATCTCTTTATCCGTATCACATCAATTTTAACCATGAAGAAGACAGTTCTGATTACCGGTTGCAGCGCTGGAGGCCTTGGTCATGCTTTGGCTGAAGAGTTTCACAAACTTGGCTATCATGTCATCGCCACAGCACGCGATACGAAAAAGATTGGCCCTTTTGCAACCAAACCCAACGTCGACATCTTCCCTCTGGACGTCACATTGCCTGAATCGATCTCAGATCTTCTTGCGAAGATACAAGCACAGGGAATCAAACTGGATATTCTTGTCAATAATGCTGGCTGCGCCTCTTTTAGCCCTTTAGTACACTCGGATATTAATGACGCCAAAGCTTTGTACGATGTAAACGTGTGGGGGTCTCTGCGAGTCACGCAGGCATTCATACCGCTATTAGTAAACACTCAAGGGGTGATACTAAACATCGCGTCTATGGCTGGAGCCGTTCCTCTAGCATGGCAGGGAAAGTGCCTCTATCAATTCATCATTCAATAACTAATGTCGTTTGATATAGGCATTTACAATAGCTCCAAAGCCGCTATGACTTTCATCTCCGAGACCTTGAAGATTGAGCTCGAACCTCTGGGGGTCCGAGTACTGACAGCTATGGTTGGCGCTATCAATACTGAAATCTATGATGGCTGCGATGTGATACTCCCAACTGACTCCTGGTATAAACCGATTGAGAGCATAATTCGAAGACAGGCCAAGGGAGAAATGCAACTGCCTAACAACGAGGCAGTGGAGGTCACAGCAGCGTCCATTGTCAGAGATACGCTTAGTGGGCGGAGGGGAAAGATCTGGCGTGGTGGGGAAGCGGGTATGGCTAGTGTTGGCTCGTGGCTCTTTCCGACTTGGCTTGTTGAATCTATTCTCCATAGGAACAGAGGCTTATCTGCACTTCGAAAGGCACATAGGCAAACTTAAAGCTTTAAGTTGATAGAGTTTATGAGACTTTACTTTATTTTTTATATTGTTAAAGTGGCAGACTTCTGAGTAAACTTAATAAGATAGTTATAATAACTAAGTAATATCTTTGAAGTTCAGGACTTAATGTTGCGGACTTTTAGGCAAAAGATGGCCTTTAGTAAAGTTTTAAAGTATCCATCTAAGAGGGCACGTTCTGTCATGCTTGTCGGATAAATATTTCCTTAGAATAAAACTTAACTCCAGTAAGACTACTAAACAACGCTTTAATTCTATGATAATAATATTAACATATTTATCGTCCTAATAATTTCTATACAGCTCAAAAAGCCAAGTCTCATTACACACTCCCCTATTATCTTCTAATTAATTTGCCAAACCACATTATGGCCTGTATCAATTTAGGAACAACGCGCTTTGGCTCACGACGGAAATCTCAGTTGTCGCGCCATCGACAGTCTACCTGCAAACCAGAAGCAAAAGCAAGGGTGCCAAAAAGTACAAAAAAGCAATGGCCATCTTGCCGAACAGTTCTTTTTCCAATCTCAGAGGCTTATCAAGCTACATCAATTAGGTAAAGAGATCTAATTTATTATTGAGAAATATAAATATACTAATATTAAATACCTAGAGTGCCTATAATGTTTATATTTTAGAGAATTATTAAAACATTAGATATAAATAATTCCTTGCAACTTTATGTTAATAACTCTTGAAATTCTTACTAATAAGTATTACGCTTTGCCAAGACATCGCCAAAAGTGCTCGGAGTAGCTCCCATAACCATCGGGGGGTTTTGAAACTCCCACTTACCCTGAAGAGCAACATTGCACCAAGACAGCCATAGGTACTCGCGCCAGCCAGCTCTCCCTTTGGCGTTCTTTGATGCCTGTAGCTCTTTATGGAGGTCTTCAGCACTCCCATCTTTGACTAATTCCACCGCGACGCCCGTCACCCTTTCATATTCCACCGCCAGCTCTTCAAGAGTGTTCACCCCGGACTGAAACTTGAAGATGCCTCCGTTACCAGCTACCACATCAGGCTGCTTCAGAAGCTCAATAGTCCACGCAGCGGCATCATCCATCGGAGTCCATGGGATTTTCCTCTTGTGCAGATCCCCCCAGTAATGAAGCTTTGCTGACTTGCCATCCGACTCAAAGGGCCCCATTCCTGGCAGAAGTAGATAATCAGCGAAGAAGCCAGTAATGATATACGCTGGCTTGATCGGACTCGTGGCTGCAGCATGATCGAGGAATGCCAGGACGCTGTTGTATAGTTCGAAGTCGCCAAAATTAATTGACGACCAGTTACTATTCCAGGTCGGTGCCACAAACGTTTTGACGCCTGCTCTTTCGGCTGCGCGAAGGAGCAAGAGGCACCCGTCGAGGTTCAGCACGGGATCGGCTTGGTACGCGCAAATCACTGCATCTACACCAGTAACGGCGCGGTCAAGGGCGGGTATATCGTAGTAGTTATCGCTCTGGATAAAAGACTCCAGTTGCTCCGCCATTGTGGTGGTAAGCTTTCTTGGGCTTCGTCCCAATCCTCGAACCTGCATTCTGTTGTCAAGGGCAGCCTGAGCCAGACGCTGGCCAAGCAGGCCTGTAATACCGGCAATTAACAGTAAGGACATCTTAAGATGTGTAATTTTACTTAAACTTGATAAAGATCTTAAATCACTTAATTTAATGCCCTTAGATATTACTTACAGTCTTTATATGCTTTATAGTTATATTTAATTAGTTAAGAATAATCATAATTAAAGGATTAAATTATTTAATTAAATATTTTATCTTTTAATAAACTTAAAATAGTTTTTAAAAAAAAGAATTAAAATATAAAGTAATTAATAAAATAATATATATAACTTATTTAAAGCTTTAAATAAAGATATTAATATTAATTATCTATAGTTAATGTAAAAATTAGTTAAACTTTAAATTTTATCTTAATATTTAAACCTTATAAAGCTATCCTTTAGTATTTCTCTTTTTCACTTTATCTTATTGTTTATTATAGCAGTAAAGACTGTAAAAATGGCTTCTTTTCTTCTTTTTACACTTACAACTCTAAAAGGGCTTGTCCAGTCATACCTGTATGTATAAAGCCCCTCTTTATGTCTCTAAAATTAACTCTTAGCAATTCCAGTCTTAACATCATTATAATTTTATGCTCAATTCAGGTTGCAAAGAGATTGGACTTAGATGACCCTCTCGTCCTTGACAGTCTCCGCTCTATCTATGTGGCAAGCAATCTTGCAATTGCAACACTATGGGCAATGATATTTTTTTCTATTGAAAACAAGAGTGAGTTTTCACCGGCAACCTAAAAGGAGTTACTTACATTTAAATAGGCGACAAATCCGAAGTGCAACTAAGTGATAAGAAAGGTCGCCTGATTACCACTACTGTATACAAATATGACAGAAGCCTGTTGTTCAACGCTGTTAGCAAACAGATCTTTGGAATTCTTGTTGCTGTTATTATGCATTTCTACCTCGGGTTGAAGGGGGCAATGGTTACGCAAAGCATTCTCCCATTAAAGCTGGCTTTTCAGAACAATTTAGTCGGGGTATATGTGTTCCAGGGCGATTCAAAAGATAACATTAATCGGCCTTTTAAGTAAGGCTAATAGGTATTTAACTTTAAATCTATGAAAGTTGTGCAATAAGAACAAGCAATAAGCTTAATTTATACGATGGTAAATTGCCAGATATGCTAATTGTTAAGACATCTTAGCTAAGTGCTAAGAATTGAGTTATATGCATTATTTGTAGTTAGGACCTATATCACTAAGCATCGGTTTGTCTCAACAAACTTCGTGATATGTAGCTTCTGATGGAGGTCTTGGTGCTGTAGTTAAAGGAATGTATTATATCTAAGAATAACTATGAATTAATACTCTATGCTTCCAGATCAAGCTTAAGCCAACCAATGCCATGTCTGTTGCCAACGTCGGTTTTAGTCCAAGCTTGCAATTGCTTCAGCGCCCCTTGAATCTTCTCCCAATCGCTACTATCAGGAGGATCTCGACCCATGCCAATTTCACGAATCTGGCTACCTGCTAGGGCAAGCGAAATATGGTGCACCTCTAAAAACGGTTGTATGGGTCTGATAGCGGCCGTGATGACCCCAGAAAGAATGTCCCTTGGCAAGTAGGGCTCTTGTGCTGCAGCACGTGCTAAGCCTACTCCGTCAACTGTAGCGATTCCGCTCACCATACCAGAACTAGTACGAAAGCCTCCTGACGTATAGGACCTTGTCTTGTCGAGTACAGGTATAATTGACTTTGCAAATTCGAGAAAAAAGCCCTCTCTAGTAGTGGTACTCAGAGCTTTCTTTTCGAAGTGGAGCACTTCAAAGGTCCCTCCGGTCAATTCGATAAAGTCAAATTGGTCATCACTCAGTGCTTTGCAAAGAGTCACTGCGTCTTCTCCAGTGAAGCCATTCTCCTGAAACTCGGTACTGTTGACCTTGATGCCCAGGATAAAATTGGGCGATACTTTGGCTTTGATAGCTCTCATAATCTCTAGAATCAAACGTGTACGGTTATATAGACTTCCTCCGTACTCGTCAGTGCGATTGTTGGTGGACGGGGAGAGGAATGCCGATAGCAAAAAGCCGTGAGCTGCGTGTAATTGAACACCAGAAAAACCGGCTTGTTCGAGGTACCAAGCTGCATGGGCAAAGCTTTCGATCACGTCTGACAAGTCGGCCTTTGTAGCCTCGCGGGGCTTGGCAAAAGTCATGCCCCACTTTGGCTCTGATCAGGACTTAGGTCAGCTTGTGATAAATTTCGAAACCGACCAAGGTTGTATCGGCGGCATTTGGAGAACTTCAAAGGGACATACCCAACGGGATAGGGGATGCCGAGATTGTCTCCGCTGATACCCTAGCATCAACTTGCCTGCCCACATGAACTATTTGTCCAAGGATCAAAGAGCCATGAGCAGTTGCAGCTGCGGCAGCTTGTTTCAGACGTTCAAATCGTAGGTCCCCTGGAATCGGCTGATGCTCCTTGCCGATGACAATATTGCCACGATTGTACAGGCGAGCATCAATATCAATTTGGCCTGTGACTATGACACCCCAATCACCTTCCCCGAACCTGTAGAGGAATAATGAGTTTCTTTCTTGACCGAATTGCGCATGAAAATCAATACCGTTTGTAAAGGTTGGCGTATTGTTCCGTGGCAATACCAATATGTTCTGGCTCATCAGCACTCCAGGTCGCCAAAGACTCAGCCATGGCGCTTTTCATGAAGCGATTCTTGGCAACCCGCCTTGAAAAGTTGAACTCCAAGGGTTTCGCGAGCGCCGAGACGTCGCATGTTTCTTGTTGCTGCCAGCGATTTGCCATTGCTTAGTGCGGGACAGTAATGAAAAGATGATAAGCCTGTATCAAGAATGAGAGTAGATGAAAACAGAAGGGCATTTGGTGAACCGTTGGATACCTCTTATACAAGGATTGTACACTCAATTCTCTAAATTCTTAACATAACTCCGAGTACAGCTGTATAATGCAAGTAGATTATTTATTCTCCACAAGCGTTTTATAGTTTATTTTATAGCTACTAATAACTAAAAAAAGCTAGGACTTAGATAAATAAGATTCTTAAAGAGAGAAGATAGAATATCCAGGGCAGAAAGCATCTTTAAAACACTTAAGACTAAGTACCACGTCCTGGGCTGACATGGACACACCAGCTTACCCCACCCAACCCGAAAAGTGTCATATCACAAGTGTCACAATGGTTCCCTCACAACAAGACATCTTTTGTTCCTCGCGTCATATCGATTGTATTCTGCCCGATGAGTCTCTTTTACTCCCGCGCCTTCTTTGCCTTCACGGCGGTGGTACCAATGCACTCATTTTCCATGCTCAATGCCGAGCAATACGGGCCCGCCTCGACAAGACATTTCGATTTGTTTTTATAAATGCACCCTACTTTAGTCATCCTGGACCAGACGTTGAATCTGTTTATGCTGAATGGATTCCGTTTCGTAGCTGGAAACGACCAGGATACGCCTTTGACAACGATTCGTCTCAGTTCTCTTTTACGGATGAAGAAGAGATTGAGAAGATCGACCAGTGTCTCGCTACAGCCATGAACAGAGACGATGAGGCTGGAGGTAGGGGTCCTTGGGTTGGTCTCTTGGGTTTCAGTCAAGGAGCCAACATGGCAGCCAGCTTGCTGCGGAGACAACAGACCCGGAAGAAGGATGCTCAGTTGGGAGCACCGACCGCAGCTGTGTTAGAGGCAAATTTCCGCTTTGCCGTACTAATGGCAGGCTGCGGGCCATTGCTATGGATGCGATATGATGTAACGGGTGACGAGCTTGAGCGCGAAAAGTACGAGCGTCTCTATTTGCCAACCCTTCATGTTCATGGATTACGGGATGAGAGAATAGCCAAGCATAGAGAGTTAGTCCAGTTTTGCCGAGCAGATACGGCCCGGGTGCTTGAGTGGGATGGAGATCATCGTATACCAATCAAATCGGCAGATGTGGCAAAATTAGTTGATGGGATTATTCTTACTGCTAAGGAAACAGGAGTATTCCTAAAGTAGTGAGAATGTTTCTAAATTTTATCTTAAGAGCTCTAGATAATTGCTTTCATTCCGGACAAACGTTAATTCAGCAACATATTTACTCCGTGTATAAACATGTGTCAAATTTCCCCACTGTCTTTTTGTCAGATACTTATCTGCTAAAAGCTCCTTTGCCCCTTGACAGATTGAACTATTACAAGTTTGACTTCAACTCTAATACCTCCATTATTATGTCTGGTTCTCAAAAGCTGCTTGGAAAGCATGTCTTGGTTATAGGCGGCACAAGTGGAATCGGTCGAGGTGTTGCCCTGGCCGCAATCCGTGACGCTGCTCATGTCACCGTTGTTGGCTCGTCACAGGCCACAGCTGACAAGGCCGTCAACTACATCAAGTCAGAGTTTCCAGAGGCCAAAGTATCTGGATACAGCTGTGATCTAGACGTGGAAAGCCTTGAAGTCGACCTAGAGGCACTTTTCGATAAGATCGATCCAGTAGACCACATTGTCACGACGGCTGCCAACTCCCACCCGCACCCGACATCGATTCAGACTATAACAGTTCAAGACCTCGGACTAGCGAACAGGAAATTGCAGGCCATGGTAATTTTGGCAAAAGTTGCTTCGCGACGCCTTCCTGCAAGCCGGCATTCCAGTCTGACATTTACTTCGGGGAGCATCGCAGATCAGCCCCAGCCTGGATGCAGTGTTCTTGCATACATAGCCCAAGGAATGTCAGGCTTCGTTCGTGGTCTGGCCTTGGACATGAAGCCTGTGCGAGTTAATCTTGTCAAGCCCGGTTACGTCCTAGACACGGGCTTGTGGTCGCAGATTCCAGAAGAGCAAAAATCGAATCTGCGTGATACACTAGCAAACAAGAACCCAACTGCTAGTGAGGGTTTGGTGGAGGATGTTTCTGAAGCATATATATATTTGATGAAGGATGGAAACTGCACTGGAGAAGTTGTCAGCACCAGGAGTGGGCAACACTTAGTCTAGAAGGATGTAGCTTTTGCGGAGAGTTTTATCTATCGTTTTAAAGTCTACCAAGCATTCACAGATCTGAGTGGCACCATGATAGATTAGTGAAGGATCGACAGACAGTAATTTTTCATGCCAAGATCTTTAAATACTAACTCATACAAAAACCTGTGATGAGGTTGAGAGGTTAAAAGAGGCTTCAGCTCCCAGGCCATAAGGGTAAAGAACACCAAAATCATATAAGCAATAATTAACGTCAGATACGGGGAAACCGGCCACCCCTAGAAACCGGCTACCTGCTTTTTAACCTAACCGCCTAATTTATAATATCTTAATTAATTTATAACTCTACTAATTTTAATTATAGAAACTTATAAACTATATTAATTAATTTAAAATAATAAAATTTACTAAAAAAGATATAAGTGCCGCTTTTTAGATAGTTATAAATAGAATTTCTATAAATAAAGCTACTACAGCTTATAGCATTAACCGTTCTACCCTTTAAGATTAAATTAAAGGTACTATAATACTAAAATAAGCTTATAAACCTAAATAAAAGCTTTTAGCTATTTAAGAAAGGTATTTAAAAAATTAAATATTAATTTAAGCTAACCTAAGATATCCTATATTATATTAGTAAGTTTAATACTTTATAAACCAGATTGCAATATATAATAGCTTTCTAAAAGGTATTAAAAAATACTAATTATTTACTTTTATAAATAGAAATAAGAAAGTAAAGACTTTACTAAAAAAGTATATAGATTCTAATTAATATAATAAAGTATCTATTAAACTTATTAAGGCTTTCTTTATATTATTATTAATACTAACAGTTTAAATAGTTAAGTAGAGAAATAGATATAATATTAATAAAGTTAGTATAATAAAAGGGATAAAACTAAATAGTCTTTTTATTAAATTAAAAGATAAAAAGTTAGTATTTATTTATTAGCCTAATTTAAAGTCTTAAATTATAATCCTTAAGTATATTTTAGCAATAGGGAAGGTCTTAAGACTTTTAGTAATCTTTAAAGGGAAAATAGTTTAATAATAATATTTTCTAAAGAAATTAAATTTCCTAAAAGATTAAAAATTTACTAGCAGTAAAAAAAGCTAGATAAATAATTATATTATATTAATTTAGCTAAAAATAGTATTTATTTTATTAATAAAGCCTAAAAATCCTAAAAAATTTTATCTATTAATCCTTAATAGTTATAAAAGTTATATAACTAATAACTTTTTATTTAAGTATTATAATAATAATATATTTATACTTTTCCTTTTAATATATACTTCTTATATCTTTTAACTATTAAATATTATAGTCTTTAGACTATTAAAAAGGGTATATTAAAAATTCCTTTTAAATCTTACTTTTATTATAGATTTAAGTTATATCAGTAAGATTACCTTTTTATATAATTATAATAAAGCCTAAAAGGAAGCTATTATAAAGTTAAATGCCTTAGCTAGCTAGAAAGTAACTAGATTGTAGTTAGTTAATTTAGTAAAGGTCTTAATAAACCTAATAGTTATTTAGATTCTTAAGATACCTACTTTTATTATTATAGCTATTTCTTTAGTAAAATTAAAGAATTTTAGTCTTTTTATAACTTCCTAATTATCTATATAGCTTTATTAAGTCCTTTAAGTTATCTTAAGTATTATCTCTAATAACCTAACTATTAGGCTACTTTTCTAAAAGATTAGCAGTTAACTTAATAGTTATAACTTCCTAATTAAGTATTAAAAATAAGAAATTATAATAGTATAGATAAAATAAGAGAAATATTTTTTAAAAAAAAGAAAGAAAATTATATATAATAGAAACATTAAGTTTATAAAGGTATTAATAATTTTAAAGGCTTATAAATAGATATAAAAAGTATTATAACTATAAAGAATATTAAATTGTATTAAAAAATTAAAACTTAAAGATCTTTATATTTAGTTTTATTTAAATATTTATTAATATAAATTTTATTAAATTAGAAAAATATAGTAGTAGTTAATTAATTAAGTTCCTAATTATATCTTATTTTTAGTGTTTTATTAAGGGTGGCCGATTTCTAGGGGTAGCCGGTTTTCCCATATCTAACGTTACGGTTAAAAACTTCATTTTAATATAATAGTCTTATAGATAATAGAACTCAGTAAGGCCATTATGATTAATTATTCAGTAAACATATACGAGTTGGATATGTCTGAAATGTGTTTGTCTAGTGAATATGACACTTGACACTTGATAGAAACGAATTTGGGCTTGCTACAAGGTCAGAGATACTGATTTAACCCTCCCGACTATCCTATACCCAGAAAACGAATAGGATTGCCGTAGGGCTCTGATTGAAACCACACAGGAGCAAGGAGCACAGCTTAAGCCTACTTAGACTCAAGCTTGACCAAAAGTGCCCTCAGCAAGATTACAAGATCCTCTGTAGGCTCCTGTTGCTGAGTCTTGGGTGACGCCTGGTTCTTCTCAAAGTTGACGCCCAGTGCGCGATAGTTGAGGCTTTTGACATTTCCAGATGCATCCAATTCGAAGATAAACTCATCAAGTGACTTATAGCCGTACCCACGCCTATCCAGCGTCCCAAGTGTTGGGCAGGTGCCTTGCTCCCAAATCAAACCAGATTCAATTGTCTCGACTTCTTCATCAGTCAGAGTGCTTGTGATGGATCTCCAGGCCTCCCGACCCTTGGTCTTTAGATTGGAGGGGTACAGTCTAATGCGGGCTGGCTTGCCGAAAGGATCCACCAACAAGTTCGTTCCTCGAACTGTGAGTTCAGTAAGGGACAGACCCGGGCCATGATCAAGTTCAATTCTCAAAGTTGAGTTGCTCGCATGGTCCGAGTAAATACCGCCGTATCGAATAAGAGAGTCGTCTTTAGCAGCTTGTTCCAACGGAGGAACCATGCGTTCAATGAAGCGAGAGCCAAAATGCTGCAAGAGACTCTCTGTCGCTTCGTGAAGGGGGCCCGCTACGAGGATTGTTAAGACAAGGTCGTAGTCGGGCACAAGGATGAGGGCTGCCTGATACCCGGGAAGGTGTCCTGACTTGTAGTTGGCAGGTATGATTCTTCCATCCCCTGTAATGTTCTTGGTACGCATGATTTCCCATGAATAACCGACCATGACGCCGCTAGAATCAGTGAAGGCGACAGGGCTCAGCCACTTTCGTGTCGTTACGGGATCCAACAGCTTATACTCAAGAATCGCGTTTCCGAAGGCCAAGAGATCCTTTGTGTTGGAATAAAAACCTCCAGATCTTCGTCTGTTAGCATGAAAAGGTTGACTGAAGGAGGAATGGTAAAGTACATACGGATTCTCAAAGCCGAGATCTAAGCCCCAGCTGGTATGATTCACAGCGATAGCGCCGTAAGAGACATCAGGCGCAGCACCGGTTGTAGTGTTTGTCATGCCGAGAGGACCCAAAATATTCTGCTGGATAAAAGTGTCGTAGGGCGTCTTAGACACTACCTCAACAACAAGACTTAGTAGGAAAATTCCAATGTTGGAGTAGACAGGTGCAGTTCCCGGAGCAAAGACTGGATGTCGAACACCAAAGTCGCGGAAGAAGTCGGCACGCGTGCATCGCGGTAGAGTCTCAGGGTTCAGGCCAGTCACAGCACACGGTGGGAAAGACTTTTCATCCAGTGCCTGGAATGCTGGGCCAAGGTCAAAGGGAACCGCAGCGAGGTCGACGGCATCTACGACATAATTTTAGCATGAATGTGAGTGTTGGGGCATGGCATACTGACATTCGGCAGCGATCCCACTCATATGAGATGCTAGCATCCCAATCGTGATATGCTCCCAGTCAACAGTTGTGATGGCATCCGGGGCCTCGGCAACCCTGATAGATCGTAGCTCGGGTAGATACTTGATGACTGGATCTTCGAGGCTGACTCCAAGACGAAGAAGGGCGAGAACGGGGAATAGCTTAGAAACGCTAGACACACGGTAGACCGTTTCCTCGTCGATAGCAGCTACTCCACTAGTGTTTAATCCGCCGATGGGATAGATGTGGTGGGATATGAAGGGTGTCTCCTCGTGGAGGGACTTGGCAGCTACAGAAATAGCAGTGTTGGGATACCAAGTCTCAGACACGAGTTTGAGGGCAGCGAAAAGATCATCAATGGCCTCTTTGATATGCGGACTAGTACTAGGAGATTTGGCGGCGGGAAGAACGGGTCCGGGGGGAGGACAGTACCACGCATTAGCCAACGGAAGAGCGAGCCATGCTAGGCTGACACCTTGCAAAGCCACCTTCTTAATCAACATGCTGGTTATTGAGTAAATCGATAGTAATATTAGAGAACAATAAACAAGATGAAAGGATGAAGAAATCAATCGTTTCAGGCGATTGGTCTTCATTTTGACTACTTAGCATTCTAGAGATGTCCAGTGTGTTGAATAAACTTTTCGCTTGATTGGCCCGGACTTGGTAGTTAGTGCGAGAACAACAAAACTCCGAATTCTGGGGGCACGACAGGGACGGACTACATTAGTCCGGTTTATTTTCAACGCTTCACTTCAAGATACAAGAACCCTGCGTGTTACTAGCAGTATTGTTTTCTGTGAAACATAGTATCAAGCGTGAAGTTAAATGGCATTATATCTTTCATGATTGTGCCAGGGTCGCTGTATCAAGACATCTTTAATATTACATTGCATTATCAACTCAAACAAAAAGATTAGCACAATTATCAATATGTCAAAACTTGCACAAATTTACAATCACGACACTAGCGCTTTTCAAGACGTTATGTCACAGTTTCCGGCCCTTAACGGTCATACCCAATTGATCCTCGGTTTCAAACTCCCACCAGAAACACACCGCAAAGCTGTTACGGACGCTCTCGAGAATGCTCTCAGCAGCTTAACTCATCAAATAGACTGGCTCGGTGGTCAGGTGATTGAGAAGGATGGAATTCTTCTGCCAGTACCATGGCCAGAAGATGGACCCAAGAATGAGATTCTTCGTCGCAAAGATTGCGATACCTTATTGCCCACGATGCATGATCTCATTGGGAGAGGAGTGCCTATTTCAGAATTGGACGCAGGTATAGTCTCGCCGTTTCCAGGCTTGAGCGCAGGTCACAGACTCGAGCCCCCTGTACCAATTGTTGCGCTGCAGGCCAACTTCATCAGCGGGGGGATGCTCCTCACCATGTGTTTCCATCACATTGTCATGGACGGCACGGCTGCGTTTCAGTTTATACGGCATCTCGCCTCTGCGCTCGAGGGAAAGCAAATCTCGCCGACTGATCTTGTACAAGCAAATCGCGATAGACGATCAGTAGTCAGACTGCTTAGCCCCGGAGAGCCCATCAAAGACTATACGGATCTGCGCCGTCCACCTGGCTTCACCTATCCACCAGTCTTGTCGACGCCAGCCTGGTGCTACTTCAAGCTCCCCATTGCTGCACTGAAAGCACTGATGAAGATAGCACTGACGCAGCTGTCTGCATCAAGTTCTCACAATGGTCTGCTCTCGGAGAACGATGTCATATGCGCTTTTTGTTGGCAACGTATCAGCACAGTGAGGCTATCCACCCAAACCCCGGGAACAGTATCCAAGTTCTCCAGGGCTATTGATGGCCGCCTTGCTGGAGGTATCCCTTTAGGCTACATGGGCCATGTGGTGTACCACGCCAATCTTCGTCTTCCACTACAACACATTGCGTCGTCAAGTCTAGGAGATATTGCGTATAGATTACGAAAAGCTCTTGATTCGTCCAACAACGAGTGGACTTTACGCAGCTACGCAACTTTTATTGCTCGGGAACCAGATAAGTCTCTTCTTCTCTACGGTGGAAAAACGAACCCAAATACGGACCTGGGAGCAACTTCCGCTCTTGCCGGCGACGATCTGCGTCCAAGTGCTTTTGGCGCCTTGCTTGGGCCATCATGCTTTCTTAGGCGCCCCAAGACAACTCCAATTACAGGCTCCATCTCAATGAGTCCTATTGAGGGCGACTATATCCCTATTTGTCTTTGCTTGCCAAGTGTAGACTTAGAGCTTTTAAAAGCAGACTCGGAATGGAAAAGATATATAAGGATTATTGGTTAAGATTTGATTAGAAAGAGCTTTACTATATACATCTCTTAAGATTTAAGATATAGAATTTAGTTAAATTATTTTATTATATCAACATTATTTTAAATTTAATTTTAAGATTTATTTTTTATATATACATTTATTATATTTTTTTATTTTAATATTATAAATATAATACTTATATCATGTATTTAAAATAAAAGTATATAATTTAGCAGCTTAATAAATAAATGCCTTTATAACTTTTTAAATTTAAGTATTAAAATACCTTATAATATTAGCGGAGTTTCTTTATCTTTTTTATAACCCTATATAATCTATATAAATATAAGTTAATACTAATACAGGGTAATTAATGTTTTATGCAAGAGTTAAGACATTTATATTGTCCTGGACATGTCTATTAATAGAAATTTAATTGTCCGTCACCTTATAAGGCAAGATGTCTGCCACCAGATCAATGAAAGGCTCATCGTTATATGCTCATAACTAGACCAGGTTTGGCGACTTTAACATACACTACAGCGAAAGAGAACCCACCATCCCAAGCAACCCTACCAATCCACATATCTTGGTCAACCTTGATGAGCGAAATGGAAGAGAATCGTGCCCCAGAGCCAATCGCAGTTATCGGCCTGAGCTGCAAATTTGCCGGCGAAGCTACAAATGCTGATAATTTATGGCAAATGATTGCTAATGGACGAGATGCTTGGTCTCAGATCCCATTGTCCAGATTTAATTGGGCGGGCTCTTTCCATCCCGATCACGAGAAATCGAGCACTGTATGTGTATCCCGTCAATTGTTTTCATAGCTAGAAATGAGTTTAATTTTAATTCTCTTAGATGCATGTGCGTGCTGGATACTTCATCAACGATGACCTTGGCAATTTCGACGCAGCCTTCTTCAACCTGTCAGCCGAAACTGCAGCCGTAAGCAATACTGTAAATGATCTGGAAATGAGCATAGATTGATGAGCGTGCGATTCTAGTCTATGGACCCTCAATTTCGGCTTCAGTTGGAGTCTGTGTACGAAGCCCTGGAGAATGGTAAGATGTCATCTTTCCGTCTGGAAATAACCAACCTGACACGTCTCAAGCCGGGCAACCCATCGAAACGATAGCTGGTTCGGACACATCTGTATATATGGGAACGTTTAATCACGACTATAGGGAGGGTATGATACGTGATGAAGATGACTTGCCACGCTTCATGATTACCGGCACTGGCGCCGCCATGGCCTCAAACCGCGTCTCGCATTTCTTTGATCTGAGAGGGGCTAGCATGACGTTAGACACGGGTTGCTCGACATCACTAGTGGCATTGCATCAAGCTGTCAGTGACTTGCGATCTGGCAACTCGACCATGGCGATCGTTGGAAGTTCCAATCTGATGCTTAACCCTGATATGTTCAAGGCTCTCGGGTCTATAGGGTATGTTATTGTACTGCACGTTGAACCACCGTTCACTGACAAAGGACAGCGTTCTCTCTCCTGACGGGAAGTCCTTTTCGTTCGATTCAAGAGCGAATGGGTACGGGCGAGGAGAGGGCGTGGCGACCGTCATCATCAAGCGCTGGAGAGATGCTGTGGCTGCCGGAGACCCTATCCGGGCAGTAATACGTGAGACTTGCCTAAACCAGGACGGAAAAACAGAAACTATCACTTCTCCAAGCTCTAATGCACAAGAACAATTGATTCATAAGTGCTACAAAAACGCGCTGCTCGACCCACTCGAAACACAATACTTTGAGGCACATGGCACAGGTACGCCAACTGGAGATCCTATTGAGCTTCAGGCAGTTGCAGCAGTCTTCCAATCGCGTCAGAGTACAGAGCCGTTACAGATTGGCTCTATCAAGGCCAATATAGGACATACGGAGCCAGTCAGTGGCCTCGCCAGCCTCATCAAAGTGGTTATGGCGCTCGAGCATGGGGTCCTTCCACCGTCCATCAACTTTGAGAAACCGAACGCAAAGCTCAACTTGAAGGAGTGGAATTTTGAAGTTCCACAGAAGTTGGAGCCATGGATCCCGAATTCCAATGGGATAAGGCGTGCGTCGATCAACAACTTTGGCTACGGTGGCACGAATGCCCATGTCATTGTTGAGATGGGACCTCAATGGAGGACTGATTCTGGCATTCACGCGACCAACGGAACCAGCCATATCAACGGACACACCAACGGTACCGAATCAACATTAGGCTCTGACCAGAAGCCGACTAGTGAAGGGAATAACACAAATTTCTCCCGGAACAAGACCAAGGTTCTTGTTCTCAGTGCAAGAGATGAACAAACGTGTCAGCATATGATCTCCAACTTGAAAGACCATCTCCGACGTCTAAAGGACCATGGGAAACCTGATCAACTACTTCAGAGTATTGTATACACTCTGGGACACCGTCGGAGTATGATGCCTTGGGTTGCAGCATGTCCCATTTCCTACACGCGCGGTATCTCTACGGTCGTTGAGTCTCTAGAATCCTCTCAATTCAAGCCCAAGCGAATCGTGCGAACTCCACGTATTGGCATGGTGTTTACAGGTCAAGGGGCTCAGTGGTATGCAATGGGGAGAGAGCTGATTATCGCCTATCCTGTGTTCAAAGCCTCCCTCGAGCTCGGAGATGCATACCTCAGAGAGCTTGGTGCAGACTGGTCGTTGATGGAGGAGCTCATGAGGGATGCTACTGACACAAAGGTTTATGATACTGCTGTCAGTATTCCTATTTGCGCTGCACTGCAGATATCCCTGGTCAACTTACTCCAGAGCTGGGGTATCAAGCCAGCAGCGGTGACAAGTCACTCAAGCGGAGAGATCGCAGCTGCATATGCCGCCGGTGTTATCGACTACCGAGCATCCATGGCCATCGCTCATTACCGAAGTGTTTTATCGGCCGATAAAGCTCTGAGAGGTTCTGTAAAGGGGGGCATGGTAGCGGTCGGAGTGGGACCTGACCATGCCGCGACCTACCTCGAAGAGCTGCAAAGCGATGGAAAAGCAAGTATCGCTTGTATCAACAGCCCCAAGAGTGTGACCGTTGCAGGGGATCTTTCGGCCATCCTGGAAGTCGAGACTAGGGCTAAGGATGATGGTGTGTTAGCGAGTCGACTCAATGTCGACATTGGCTACCATTCACATCAGATGGAGCCCATCTCTCACAGATATAGAGATGCACTGAGACGGGTAAAGCTTTTCAACTCTGCAAATAACCTCGAGTCCATCATCTACGCTTCACCAGTAACTGGCGGCCGCATGACCGAGGCTGAAGAAATTGCCAGTGCCGAACATTGGGTGGCAAGCTTGGTTCAGCCTGTCCAGTTCCTTGATGCCTTCACCGACATGGTTCTGGGTGGCTTTGACCCATCTGGCACTAGTGTTGATCTTGTAGTCGAGGTTGGACCCCATTCAGCCTTGAGAGGCCCTATCAGACAAATTCTTGAGCTTCCTGAGTTTGGGGGTCTTCAAATCCCTTACTACCCTTGTTTGATTCGCAAGAATGATGCTAGAGATACCATGCAGGCACTGGCGGCAAATCTGATTGGTGAGGGCCTGGAACTACAATTAGATTCTCTCAACTTCCCATATGGACGAGAGAGCTTTGTCAACGTATTGACAGACCTTCCCTCCTACCCATGGAATCACCAGATAAGACATTGGGTGGAGCCACGCTTCAATAGAGCGCTGCGAGAAAGAGATCAGGAACCGCACAGTCTTATTGGCTCATTAGTTCTAGGAACAGAGCGAGACTCTCCTTCTTGGCGCCATGTACTTCGTGTGTCCGAGTCGCCTTGGCTTCGTGATCACGTAGTCCAGTCCAATGTCCTTTATCCCGGAGCAGGCTTTATCTGCTTGGCTGTCGCAGGTGTAGCACAGATGGTTTCTATGCAGGTGATCAAATCTGTGGATAAACTTGGAAAGGATCGACAGATCTCTGGTTACAAACTGCGAGACGTTGAGATCCTTCGAGCCCTGCTAGTGCCAGACATCCAACCTTTAGAGCTTCAGACCAAACTCTGTCCTGCCTCTGATAGAGAGATTGGCCTCAGGGGATGGTATCATTTTGAGATTCTCTCTGTCACTGGCGAAAACCGATGGAATCTGCATGCCAAGGGGTCTATCAAAGTCGAGTTTGCCGATGAGTCGACGCCGGGGGTAGGCGGACTCGAAGCAATATCTCCTTTGATTCCTAGCACAGCACGTCGAATCGCACCCGATGATGTGTTTGCTACTTTCAGATCCGTCGGCATCGAGCATGGACCAGCATTCCAAAACTTCAAGACTATCCTCCAGTGTCAAACTGAACCACGATCCAAGGCGACCATAATCGTTGCCGACACCTCTGCTAATAACACCATCATCCACCCGACTACTTTCGATTCCGTTGTGCAAGCGGCATATACTGCTCTTCCCAAGGCTGGATATTTCCAGGAGAGCCCCCGCGTGCCCCGCAGATTCAGGCACATTTGGATATCGAGTAATATCGGCCACGAGGCAGGACACGAATTCGAGGCTTGCTCAAGAGTCAACGATGCCAGTGCTCAGAGCTTTGAGGCAGATGTTCGCCTTTTCGATGCCCAAAAAGATTCACATGGCTCGCAAACTCCTGTCCTCGAGATCCAGGGACTGTTTCTCCAGTCCCTTGGTCACGCCGTTGGTACCGGAAATAAGCGGCCATGGGAGAATGAAGTTTGTAACAGGGTGGAATGGGACATTGACATGACTGTCGCTGACCCCAGGACATTCGAGAGGATTAAAAAGGACCTTACACTCTCAGATCCTGGGGAGAGTTTTACGAAAGAGCTACGGCCCATTTGCCTATACTATATTCACGAAGCACTTGCTGAGCTCTCGGATCCTGATGTCTCGAGTCTTAGTGGACACTTGGCCAAGTTCTACGGCTGGATGCAGGATCAGGTGAAGCTGGCCTTGCCAGAAACAAAATCTGACAATACAGACGAGACCCTTGATCTGAGATCTCTAAATCCTGGGCTGAGACTCTTTCTTATCAGCCAAGCTATTACGAAAAGTGTCGCCGGTGAGATGATCTGTCGTCTCGGTCCGCATCTTGCAGATATCTTGCGAGGAAAGACAACTCCTCTGGAAGTAATGGCTCACAATAATCTTCTTTCGAGATACTATGAAGAATCACCTGGCCTCAAACGCTGTTTCAGGCAACTATCTCAGCTCCTCCGCAAGATCGTTCACAAGAACCCCAGAGCTAGAATCCTTGAAATAGGTGCTGGTACAGGCAGCGTCACTCGCCATGCCCTAGAAGTACTCGGAACCCGAGATTCTGGTGGTCCACTAGCCGAGCTATACCACTATACGGATATCTCCATGGGTTTCTTTGAGGCTGCTAGAGAGGAGTTATCGGGGTGGAGCGATGTACTAGCATTCGACAAGCTGGATATCGAGCAGGATCCTGCAGAACAAGGTTTCAAGCTTGGTTCTTACGATATCGTGATTGCATGCCAAGTCCTTCATGCAACAAAGTCCATCTCTCATACAATGGCTAATGTTCGGAGCCTCATGAAGCCCAGCAGCTCGCTGTTACTTATTGAAACAACACAGGACCAGATTGATATCCAGTTCATCTTTGGCCTGCTGCCCGGATGGTGGCTCAGCCAAGAGCCTACACGTCAGAATAGTCCTTCCCTCAGTATCCCGTCCTGGGATAGCGCACTAAGGACTACAGGCTTCACAGGGGTTGACATGGTCGTGAACGAAAGCGAAGATGCTTCTGAGTATGCATTTAGCACTATCATGTCTCATGCGAAAGCGGAGGTAGATAGCTCGGTCGGGATTCGCTCAGAGGACATTGTTCTAGTTACGACTTCAAAATCAGTTCCTCCGCGAGATTGGATAGTCTCTCTAGCACGGTCTATCGGAGGAAAAGATGACTCCTTTGCTGTGCAGCTCCTTGATGCCCCTGATGCCACTGATTCTACCTACAGGGGCAAGATATGCGTCTTTTTGGCCGAGGTGGAGGACAACGTACTCTTTGAACTCAACTTGACGTTGTTAGAAGGGCTGAAACTCGTGGTAGCCAATTGTCGTGGTCTTCTTTGGGTAACAATTGGGGGAGCTATCAAGTGTGAGATTCCTTGCTCGGCATTGGCTACAGGTTTTGTCCGTTCTTTGCGCAATGAGTATGTTGGCCGACGAATCATGACTTTAGACTTGGATCCGTCTCCCACAACATGGCCATCTGCTGCCTCTGACGCCATCTCGCGTATTCTCAAGCATTCTTTCAGAGACACGGATGATAGCGACATGTTTGACGGCTCTGCAATGGATTTCGAGTTCGCGGAACGAGGCGAGGCTATTATGGTCCCGCGATATTACAAGGACACAATTCGAAATGAACTCGTCATGCCACAGCAAAACCAGCAGTCAACAGACAATGCTGTGACTGAGCTCTTCCATCAGGAGCATCCTGTTCGCCTCCATGTTGGCACCCGAGGTCTCTTGGACACATTGACATTTGTTCACGATGAAGTGGTCATGACTGCCGATGATAGTCAGATGTTGGAGAGCTTTGTCGAAATCGAGGTTCGCGCTTATGGGCTGAACTTCCGAGATGTTATGGTTGCCATGGGCCAACTGGAAGACAAGATCATGGGTATCGAGTGTGCCGGCATCATAACCAAAGTTGGCGCTGTGGCTGCTCTCCATGGGCACTTTGTAGGCGAAAAGGTTTTTGCCCTTCTCCGCGGGCCTTTTGCAAGTCGCGTGCGAACCGAACATTGGAACGCTGTTTCTATACCAGAGGCAACGACCTTTGAAGAAGCAGCATCCATGCCCATGGTGTTTACCACGGCGTACGTTGCTTTGTTCGACGTTGCTCACATCCAGCGAGGTCAATCTGTTCTGATCCACGCCGCAGCGGGTGGCGTTGGCCAAGCAGCTATCCAGTTGGCGCAGCATCTCGGGGCCGAAATCTATGTCACTGTAGGCTCTCCAAAGAAGAAGAAGCTGATCCAGCAGAGGTATGGAATTCCAGATCACCACATCTTTAATAGCCGCGATGCATCGTTTGCCTCGGGGATCCGTGACATAACCGAAGGTCGCGGTGTTGATCTTGTTCTGAACTCTCTTGCGGGTCCTTTGTTGCAAGAGAGCTTTGACCTTGTAGCTCCCTTTGGACACTTTGTCGAGATTGGAAGACGAGACCTGGAACAAAACAGTTTCTTGGAGATGCGCCCATTTATTCGCCATATATCCTTCTCGTCACTGGATGTACTCCACATGACAAGAGGGAAAGGACCAGATGTGCGACGAATTCTCACCGAGATTGCACGCCTAAAGCAGCGGAACGTGATCGCGCCTGTTGATCCGTTGACGAGTTACCCAATCTCGGATCTTACCAAAGCATTCCGTCTCATGCAGACAGGACAACACACAGGCAAGATCGTGGTATCAACAGGTCCGCTCCAGAAGGTTGCAGTTCAGCCCTACCCCAAGGACATCAAGCTGTCGCCAGATGCGTCTTATCTATTGGTTGGTGGCTTGGGGGGCATCGGACAGTGTTTGGCGAGCTGGCTTGTCAATCTTGGGGCCAGGCAGATCATTCTCATGTCACGAAGTGCTGGGACAAAAGACGAGGATGCGGTCTTTATACGCGACTTGGCTGAGACAGGATGCAGAATTGAATGCATTAGCTGCGACGTCTCCAAGAGCCATGATCTTGAGAGAGCGTTGCAGCTGTGTACAGCCAAGGGGCTTCCGCCTATTCGAGGTGTTATTCACGCAGCCATGGTGCTCCAAGTAGGTGTTACTCTCAATACTTGTTTTTCACTACTAACAACTTTCAGGACTCTATTCTAGAGCAAATGACTATCGAGAATTTCAGGGCGGCTGTTGTGCCAAAGGTTCATGGGTCCTGGAATCTGCATACCAAATTCCAGAAAGTTGACTTCTTCATTATGTTATCATCCATCAATGGTATCGTCGGCTACGCCAGTCAGTCCAACTACTCAGCCGGAGGGTCATATCAAGATGCTCTTGCCCATTGGCGTGTTACAATTGGTCTCCCTGCGGTTTCGCTCGATCTCTGCGCCGTAAAGACAGTGGGCTACGTGGCTGAGACGGCTGGCGTGGCAGTCCGCATGCAGAGAGCAGGCCACATGCTACTGAGAGAAGATCAACTCCTCGGATTATTGGAGTCAGCCATTCTGCACCCGTTTACTCCTCAGATCGTCGCGGGGCTCAACACTGGACCTGGCTCTCACTGGAATCGTGATGGAGAGTCACAGCTCGGCCGCGATGCACGTTTCAGCGCCCTGCAATATCGACAGCCGCGAGAACAGCGAGCAAGAGATGGTGACATGGCTCACAAAAACTCACTTGCTGCTAGTCTGGCCGAGGTGACTTCCCGGACTGATGCTGAAGCCATTGTCTTTGAGGCGATTGCACAGAAGTTGAGCTCCATCTTCGTCATAGCTGTTGGAGAGATTGAGCCAAGTAAACACCCATCTCATTATGGTGTCGATTCACTGGTGGCAGTTGAGTTGCGAAATATGATCTCGCTTCAGGCAGCAGCTGATGTTTCCATTTTCAGCATCTTGCAGAGTCAGTCGTTAGGGGCGTTAGCTAGCGAGATTGTGGATAAGAGTAGATACACCGAGGTTATTTAGGTTAGGTTACATATAGTATCAGTGTTGAATATAATGACTATTGTTGGTTAGTTAAAAGTCAAGATATCACGGTAGCAAAACGTAAAATAAAGTCTGGACTCTCAACGTACATACAACCTAACAACATTGTTTTTGTTTTCTATTAACGATCTCGCAAACATGACTTAATTTGGCAGGGAAATGTCTCGGGCACAGATATTTCGTTTGCTGCTGAGACTTATGGCTGAGAGCTTAAATTAGCACTGAGAGCTTAGTGGCTCGGGCATACCCGGCGGTCTCGTAAAATTGAGCCAATAGAGACATGTAGGCACGGTATGTGATCAGACACACGAGACTAAACGAGGCTAAACGAGAAGTTTAAACTCAGACAGCGGCTCAGGCCGCCCACAAATTTCTTTATATAGCAGTTCTTGCGATACTCTAAATTGCCAACCGCGGTCTGGACCCTACTATCCATGCCAGAATGTACACGGCGATAGGGAGCGTCAGAAGATCCTATCGCCGATCCTCGGTCGAAAACCGATCTGTAAGAAATTTCCTATAGTGCTTTGACTGACCCGCAAGCGAGATGCTGTTGATCTCTCCTTTAGTAAGTTTGAATGTGGGTACATTCTTGCATAAAGCTTTCAACCTGTCCCCTTTGCGAGTGGTAGTGATAGCTGCTATGTTCTGATCCATACACCATCTTAAAGCTATATCTGTCTCTGATACCTCGTATTTGCGGGCCAATTGGGTGTAGAGCTTGTTAACTGGTCCTGGAACTTTTTCGGTCAGCGCCGTAAGGGTAGAGTATGCTGAGACTGTAATATTTTGGGACTTTAGGAAGTTGATGAGTGAACCACGTTGAAGGTAAGGATGATACTCGATGGAGTTGACAGCAGGAGGAATTTTTGCCGTCTCTAAGATGATCTCGATGTGCTCTTGCAGAAAGTTCGACACACCGATTGACTTAGCCCTCCCGGATATTTTGATCTCTTCCATTTGAGACCAAACGTGCTGTAGATCCTTTGCATCGTCGGCCATGTAAGGCGCGTGTACCAGATAAAGGTCCACGTAGTCAAGGCCTAGCCTACTAAGAGAGCTTTCGAACTCAGCCTTGACGTCTCTTTTCTCAGTCCCGCATAGTTTTGTAACTATGAAAAGGTCTGATCGAGGGATCGGAGAAGCTCGCACGGCATCGCCGAGTTCTTTCTCATTATTATACACTGCAGGTAGTTAATATGGAAATGGGACAAACTAGCACCTACTCTATTAACTTACGTTCGGCGCAATCGAGATGGCGAAACCCATGTTCAATCGCGAGTTTTGTCGTTGTGACAATTGCTTCATTCTTCTCATCCCGGGATCTCTTGTGTAACACCGTTCCTAAACCATATCCCAGCTGAGGATGGGTCAGGCCCGGAACAGTTGTGAAAAGGAAGTCAGAACTCACCATTGGCATACTATTTCCATCATTTAGCTTCAGTACGGCTTCGCCGGCCTTTGGCATGTCTCCCAGAGCCGATGATTTGCAAGTTGACATCTTGTACGACTCCATCGGCCAGCTCCGTCGACGGGAACGATTCGTAAGATCTTACGACTTCATAAGCATATAACAAGAGCTAGAATGTTATGGGAAGTTGCAGGCCGATCTTCAGGACTGCGGATGTTGAGCCTGATACAGTAGTTGAAATGCAACAAGCCTGTTTCTTATCTACTAGGTGACCGGCCATTTGTCTCTTTCGCCAATTTTAGTATCAATGATGCCATGGTTTATCGGACTATCTTTACCTACGACTGCGAAATAATTTACTCCGGGCGTATCAGAGGAGCCTGAGTGACTAGATTTGACTTTTTGAATCTGGTACTTCGGCCCGTATTAGCCGCCCTTGTCACAGGTCCTGGCCGCTCAGGCCTCGATTACCTGCAGCCTGCAAGCACATTTACTAAGCTAACCGAGGGGTTGGCAACAACTGCCGAGCTGATATGATGGGATTGCGACGAGGATACATCACAGAGTTTAAGCTTATGCACGAAACCTCGTCTCTAGACGTAAGAAGTTCAAAGGAATCCAAGAATCTTGGGGTGCTTATCAAACCAACCTCGGTTCAAATTGTGAGTCTAAATCTATTTATACAATGGACTATTCCGAGGTTTAAAGGACGCTTTTATGTGCATACATCGTCGAAATGGATACTAACTGCAGACAACAAGCTGGGCTTGCGTGCGAGGAATGCCGAAGGCGAAAGTCAAAGTGCGATCGTGGTCGTCCAGTCTGTGGAGGTTGTCTCGAATCAGGAGTTGAATGTGTTTTCGTGGAACAAAGGCCAAAACGAGGGCCTAAAAAGGGACAGCTAAGAGAGTTGAAGTCGAGAATCGGTCTGGGTCCCTTTATTTGTCTCAAATCAACATCAGTTTCTAACATGATAGACAACAGCCATGCTAGAGCAGCAATTGGCCAGCCAGTCAGAAATCGAGGTTGCAGATATTGCCTACTCTCATTCTCATAGCCATAGCAACAGTACCGAGGCAGCATCGGCCACTCCGTTGGAAGAGATGGAATGGACAATGCAGTTCGATCTGTCACAGTCAGCCTGGACTGAACATCTAGAATTGATATCAGATCCTAATCTGGACCCTAATTTGGACCCCAACTGGCAGGACTATACTTCGGTCTCACGAGATGTCGAAGCAGCACCTCAACAGATCCAAACATCGGATGACTTATCAACAGCCAAGGACTTACCTTCGTTGATTCAGTTTGACTTGTAAGTTCAAACCCCTGGCAAAAGGCTTCGATTTCAAGATATTCTGAAAACTGACATAAGAGTTCTGTTTCATCGATTAAGAGATCAGCTATATTTTGATAGGGTGCACCCACTCTTCCCCATGGTCCACAAGCGACGTTATTTGTCATGGACTAAACTAAAGGATCCTTATCCAGCTCGCCAATGTTTGAGAATGGCTATGAGAGCACTTGCCGCGTCCATGTCATCACAGTTCCGGTCTCGTGGAGAGGACTTGTATCTCAAAGCGAGACAAATGGCGGAGGATCTCGAGGCCAGCGAATTAGGTTTGCCTTGGACAGATGCCGCTATCAGTATTGAGCAGACGCAGGCATGGCTTCTTCTTGCGCATTACGAACTTTTGGCACCTCACATATATCCAGTACAAGCAACAGCTCGTCGGGCTTTTCGTTTGGTGTATCTCTCGCGGTTACATTGCTGTGATCAGCAAGAGCAGTCTACAGTGGGTAGCTCGAACTCCTCACAAGCCTCAGCGCCAACTCGAGTAGATTTCCCAACCCTCGAGGAGAAGAGACGGACTTTCTGGGTTGCTTTCTGCTTAGACCGATGCTTGATCGCATGTGGAGAATCTCTACCAGCCATTCAGGATGAAATTGTTAGTTTGAACTTCTTTATTGCCAACCCTCCATCTCAAATGCTCATTTCGGTAGATCTCAGTTCGTCTTCCATGCCCAGAAAAGAACTTTCAGAACGGAGATGAGGTCAAAATGGGCTTCGCAGACGAGGCACTCAAGTACACAAAGCTGGATGCGACATCGCGTTTCGCCGAATTTGTCACTAGTACAGCTCTCTTTGGACGCTGCATCATGCAGAAGCACCTACCGAAAAGCGGACCATCGTTAGAAAAAGAAACCGCGTCTTTCTGGAAAAGGCACGATTGGCTGGCATCAGCTGCAAAAAGGCAAGTTGACCTATTATCCAACAATGCAACGGATCTGGATGACGAACCAATGGCCATCGTGACTCTGATGGTGATGTACGGTTCCATTATAGCCCTGGCAAAGGCGAGCAAAGAAATGCCTCGTCAGACACAGGAAGAGCAGTTAGCTTCAGAGGCATATAATGAGTCTGCCAATGAGGCTGCAGCTAAAATGGCCGATGTATCCAACCTCATTACAACCTCTGCTTGCTTCAAGGTAATCGTCTCACTTCATCCTCTCTATAAGCCAAGCTGTTGTTAATTGATCCAGGCCCACCCATACCTCCCCTTACTACTCACCTTGGCCATCTCGTATCTCACTATCAACCTGAATTCTGGTAGGGATCCTTCAGTCTGCAGCCTAACAGAATCTGCCAGGACTCAGTTGAGCGGAGCCTTAGAGAGCTTTCTAGAGATTCACAGTCAGGCAAAACAATTTGTAGAAAGGCTTACGGGAAAATAGATGAAATATTAATAAACAGTCAATCCTTAGTGATATGGACACAGACTTATAATAAGTAGATTAAATGTATTTGGTATAGTTTATACTTCCTCAAAGACTTAAGACCTCCCTTTAAGATAAAATAATTTCACACTCCTAAGTTGGGGCCTTAGCAAGATAAACAGTACGTTCTTCACATCCAGAAGTCACTTACTGAGAATGTCTTAATATATATAAGACTTTTATTAATATACTAAGTGATTTTAATAGATTGGCTGACATTACTAAAGAGGTCGATCTTAGGATGAATTTAAAACATTGAAACTAAATAGTATTGTTATTAGCTACCATCGCGTAATCTAGGGTGCATTGCTCTTCCTTCTTTCTAATTGTAAGGAGGCTATGGTAACATAAACTAGAACCTTTCAGCTGTCAACATGTACATTTTCAACTTCTCAGCTTGTCCCGATTTCCAAGGAACCAGGGTTGTCGTGACGGTGTACCCTTTTGCCTCCAGAAATTTCTGCATAGCTTCAAGTTGTCCATCAGGACTCCACAACTCCATGACAATGTTCTTAACTGACAACAAGTGGTCTTCATCAAGCCCCTTGATGACGTTCAACTCCCCTCCTTCGATATCGATCTTCAGTAAATCGACTTTCGTAATGTCGCCCCGATCTCTCAGGAATTCGGAAAGTCTTCTAACGGAAACCGGCGCTTGTCGTGCATTCTCTCTCATTCTATCTGCAATTTCATTACTGACTTTGTCGGCGATAAGATCCAGCAATTCTTCCCCTCCGTCGCTGCAAATTGTTGAGAAGGCAGGGGTATTAGGGAAGAAGGTTAACATCTT